GTAGATAACAATATGTGAAACAATAACCATTGATAATTTCCTACCACTTTGTCTGTAATTTGGTAAGCCGCCCCATTATTATGGTATCCTTCTTTTACTCTTTAAAATTTAAAAAAAAAAAAATTACTTGTGAAATGAAAAAAAAAAGTCTCAGTGGTTTTGCCTAAAAATGGAAAATATAATTTCAAAACTATGAAAGCTAATTACCTCATTTAGGTTTACAAACAGAATAGAAGCACCAACTTACAAAACTACCACATCTTGTGAAGTTGACAACCCAACATTCAGAAACATTCCAGCTCGAGCTTGGGAGTGTGTGGACACAGAAGCACCTGGTTAAGGCATTCAGGGGTCAGAGCAGTGCTGTCCCTTAAGCTTTAACCCCAAATTTCAGATCTCCTCTAGAGTTCAGGCCTGATGACAGGGGTGTCTGCACCGAAGGCTTCCACTGACATCTAGAATCCCATCTGTGGCGACAGATGCTGGAAGAACAGGCTCAGCTGAGTAAAACAGGCTGCAGTGGACAAAGCTGGAAATCAGAAGGGCCTGTGGGTGCTGGACCTCAGTCTTGGGTGGGTTTAGAGTTTACCAGGCACTTCCTGGCACACCAATGAGGCTGAAGGTCCTGCAGGTGGTAGGGATGGAAGGTGGCAGACTGGGCTTTAAACCAGCAAAAAGCTCTGCAGTGGGAGGTTTCTGAGAAGGCCTGTGGGCATAACCCCCGGTGAAGGTCCAAGAATGCACTGCAGCATCCCAACTTCTCCAAGCAGCAGCCAAGTCTTGGGACATCATCAGTTCTTCAGCCAGAATGCTCAGGAGCGCGCTATTGGTGGAGCTAACAATGGCTGCCACTCGCGCCAGGTGCCAGGCCTCAAGGCTCCCAGACACACTACTGGCAGCCACTAGCTCCTCTACAGATACTGCTATGTGCAATGTCCCTGAGGTCGCCTCCAGCAGACCTAAGTCCCATTCCCATGCAGAGCAGCCAGGTGCAGAGGACTTAGCTGCCAAGCTAGTGCGTTTGTGTTGCTGGGGTGCCTTGCTCTGTGTGACAGTAGCCAGCTGCAGTGCCGCCTCTGGAGCTGTGGGTGTTTGTGGCTGGGGTTCCTAGACGAGCCATCAGGCCTTGTTGTTCCTGGGCCTGGGCCAGGTCCAAAGGACATCCAAGGGCAGTTGGGGATCACTAGGAGGATGGAGGGGACCACTAGAATGGATGAGCTCAAAATCTGGAATGTAGCATGAGTGGCCCAGGTCCCCAGGTGGCTTCCTGGGCTTGGGGACTGCCCTTGGGGTGTCCTGTGGCTCTAGCTGCAGTCAAGTCCTCTGGTGGCTCCGTTGGCCGCTGGGCTGAGGACAGGGGTGGTGCTTGCCAAGTAGAATTCTCCCTGGGGAAAGAGACCTCCCATGGCAGGTCTGGTGCTCTAGGGAGGAGGCATATGGCGCTGTCCCTCAGGGAGATAAGCTTCTCCGCAGCACCGTGAACTTGACCCTGGAAACTCCCTCACCATAGCCACTTGGCAGCTCTACAGCTTGAAGAGGTCCCTGTGGATGCAGCTGTGAGTCACTGGTCCAGCAGGTGCTGGAAGCTGCTCTGCAGTTCACATGGCACACCTTCCTGCTGTGCCGTACAGGGAGCCCGGCGAGGACCCTGGTCACCCTCTGCTGGCCTCAGTTACAGGGTGCTGGGGCGGTAGATGCTCATGGCTACCTGGGACCTGTGAGATCTGTGGTTCCGGGAGGGACCTCCACCTGGGCCCTGCTCACATGGTGTTTCCCCTGAAGCTGGGTCCCAGTCATATCCACCCCACCAGGTCAGGATGGAGCTCTGCAAACAGGGCTTGAGCCTCTGGGATACCTTTCTGCCTTCATAGTCTGTCCGGGGGATTCCAGGCTCTATTCCCTGTGCAAGGTTTCGCCTTACAGGTGACAGCTGCCGCCGGCCTCTCCTGCACTTTCGACCTAATTTTGCTTTAAACATAGCCCTGCCCTAAAGAGATACAGTATATTTAAAAATAATTCATCTTTGCCTACTCCTGCCTCTGAGAAGCAGTGAGCTATAGCTTGTTACTACCCCTGAGAGCCAGGATCTGGGCTCCCAGTCTGAGCTGCAAATCCCAGCCCCATTCTAAGACCCAGTCTCTTTAAGAATAGGTGGGAACAGACCTCTCTCTCCTTGGGCCTTTGCAGTGGGAAATCAATCTCAGATAGGGTCAAAAAACAGACAAGAGCAGAGCTGCCTTGGTCCCAGCTGGAAAGCCCTGAAATTCTCCCTCTCTGACCCCACCCCTTCTGTGGGCTACCATTCAGGTGCGCAGGCACCCGGCAGAGCCCGTCTGCCCACTCAGTCCTTCTGTCCCTACACGTACGCTGCAGGGCAGTGCTGAGATGGTGCTGGCCCCCGGGAGCCCCGCACAACGGAAATGCAGCACAAGCCGCTTGTTCACTGCCTTGTAAAATTGACATCAGTGAGACTAATTTTTAGATAGAATTTCTTATTTCAAGCAGGTGCACCCTCAAAGTCAACAGAGCATAGGTTTCCCATTCACTCGCTGTCCCCATCCTGCCCTGCCCACTGTCATCAGTCCTGCCCACACTGTCTCTTTGTTATAATGTGTGAGCCCCCACTGACCTCACTCAAGGCCCAAAGGTTATGCTGGGGGTCACTCCCGGTGGTCTACAGCCTATGAGTGGGGAGAAAAATGGACTAACGCTACAATGCCACACAGAACAGTGCAACTGCTCTAAATTTCCTCATGTTTCGCCTACTTCTATGTGTTTCAATCCCTGTGTAAAAGCTTTATCATATATAACTTTCAGTCATGCAAAGTATCTGCATCATGACTTCATTCCACATGGAACAGTGCTGGTTTGTGCAAGCAGAGGTATCCATTGGTCTGCAGGTTTACCTGAAGCTGCAGGTCCCCTGGTGCAGAGGGGTGGGACAGGAAGCCCTCCTAGGCTCCTGCTCCGGAAACCAGTCTCTGCACTACAGTATAGGACTTGGCAGAAACCACTTCCCTCGCTGGGGCTCAGAATTTGATGAAATGAAACACGGGCAGTTTGGGCTAGATGGCCTCTATCGTTTCCTGGCCCTGCAACTGTCTGCTTATTTGATGCAGTTAATCAAAGATAAGAAAATTAACTGCACTGCTGGTCCAGGTAGGGGGTGATTTCAGTGCACATATTGCTCCCTGCACATTCAAAGGATGAGCACATATTCTCCTAGTAATTGGGAGGCTTGTAATTGTCTTTGTTCTTCAATGAACTTCTTTCATAGCGGGACTATTTCCTCCCAGATGGAGGTGAATAACAGATACAGACCTCCCTACACGGCAGAATGTGGGTAAATCTCCAGTGAATGAGCTTCAAAATTAAAGCAGTGGGTGACACACTCAGAATAGGATCACTACAAACAAAGCGTTTCCTGTGCTTGACTGTTCTAATTCTTCACTGTTATCTTCTTGCTTAATTGAGCTTTTGTCCATAGCAAGTCCCTCTTTGTCCTCCTATAACCTTCTTTTGATTTAAAACTTTACAAATTCTGTTCCATGTTGGGCACCAAATTGGTGAAGTTTCACTCCTGAAGGTCACACTGTGTGTTTTAAAAAAAAATAGTGGTATTTAGACATTTAGATTTTAGTTTTTTGACAAGTGCACCTGTTCCATCATATAGCGAACAAAACTAGTCCTGACTTTCATAAATACTTATGGATTTAGCTTTGTTAGTTATTTCTTCAGAGAGCTTTTAGTTCCTGCTGATGTCCTTTCCTTTAACTTCCTTTAACTTCCTTTAACTTCCTTTCCTTTAACTAACCTTTATGCCTGATAGGTCTAGTAGTAGCAAGACAAATTCCTCAATACTTATGTGCTGGAATGATTTGATTTCTCCCTCATTTTGTAGGGACAGTTTTGCTGGATAGAGAATAGAGAATTCTTAGTTGACAGAGGTTTTATTTTGTTTTGCTTTTTCATTCAACACTGCATCTATGAACCCATGTCGTTCCAACATCCGAGGTGTTTTCATGATAAACATAATGATTATTTTCTGGGGAAACTATGGCGAAAGAGATCTTCGTGTCAGTTGGTCTCCTTACTGTAATTTAAAGAGAATACCCTCTTCATTATCGTAATGTCAGCGAAGTTGTATCATCACACTGAGGCCCATCAGTGAGAATTTAAAGAAAAAGGAATTGGATATGTTTAGTGTAGACATCATGCGGTCTTTCAAAATGGAAAATATTACAGATTCTCAAGCCAGATACAAAAGGGACTTTGAAGATCTTACAGGTTTTTCATTCTAAGACTCTAAATGTCAATCTCCATAAGCCACATTAGCAAAAAATTTTGTATCCTCTTTTTTTTAGATTAAAGCACAAAAGGTCCTAGAGGCCCAAAAGTGAGATAACCATGTAAGTTATAGCCAGCCATGACTGGAGCATTTGGGGCTCTGACCTCACAAGAAGCAACTGTGAAGTCATTTGAAAGGTGAGCTTTGTAAACCACAACCAGGAGTTCCATACCACTGTGAGGTCACTTCAAATGTTACCTATAAGGCCCTGGTTGGGATGGGGATTTTTGGTCCTACTGAGACCTCTTGTTTGAGGTAACCTCTGTGAGTGCTAGATAATTTGTTTATTTTATGATTAAGTGTTGAGTGATTGTAATATTTCATAATTCGCGATGCCTACTTTTGAGGCTGAGCATAGTGAACTAACATCATCTCTGGGCTCCCCAGCCAGCTTCTCCTATTCAGAGACGCTCAGAGATCATTACCATATCCTACAGAAAATCAACCAGGGCAATGTTGCCGATGTAATGCTGGCTGAGCATTTATCCACTGGAATGACAGTGGCCATCAAAGTATTACCAAAGGGAGAGAATCCTGACCATGTCATGCTGGAGGTCAACATCATGAAATCACTGCAGCATCCACATATCATCAAGTTACTACAGGTTATTGAAACAAAGGAGAAGGTGTACATGGTGATGGAGTACGCAGGTGGAGGAGCGCTGATGAATCACATCCGTGAGGCCAATGGCTTACCAGAGCAGGAAGCTAGGAGAATATTTTGGCAGATCATCTGTGCCATACAATACCTCCATGAACAAGGCATCATTCACGGGGACCTCAAATCAGATAACATCTTGTTAGATGAGGATGGCACAGTTAAAATCTGTGACTTCGGAATGGGGACCAAGATCACTCCTGAGAAGAAGCTGACCAAGATCTGCAGCACGCTGCCAGACACTGCCCCCGAAACACTGTTGCACAAAAAAGAGTTATTTGCTGGGGACATTTGGAGACTTGGCATTATCCTCTATGAGATGGTAGCGGGGTTCACACCATTCACGGAGATCCATCCCTTGCATCTTAAACAGCTGATCCTACAGGGCAGGCACTACTGTCCCCGTTCCTTCTCCACAGACCTGCAAAATCTAATTGGCATGCTTCTCACCATCGACCCCTTGCAGTGGCCACCACTAGAGGAAATCTTATGGCACCCATGGCTCTGCCAGGGTGAACAACCTTCTTGTCCTCCTCCTGAGTTGCTTCCAGAACGCCCAAAACCTGAAATCCTAAAGTTGATGTCCGCCTTAGGACACAATCCCGAAGAAATTATAAAATCCCTCCGGTTAAAAAAATTTGATCACCGGATGGCCACCTATCTTATTATGGAGCATCAAGCAAGTCAGGGGACAGGTATTTGCATCAGAGTGAGGCCAGCAAATGAGGGTGATACACCATCTCCAGACCCCACAGATCCTACCCCCTCAGCTCTCCTTGAAAACAGTGGTGGACCTGTCCCTGACAGTGACTGCTTTTTCCCAGCAAATGAGGGTGACATACCATCTCCAGACCCCACAGATTCGACCCCCTCTGCTCTCCTCCAAAATAGTGCTGGACCTGCCCCCGACGATGACTCCTTTCTCCCAGGGAATCAGTTTGACAGGAAACATGAATTCTGCAAGACCACCAAATCCAATACAAGCTGCCAGCCTTGCATTGAGTCAGCACCCTCCAGCTCCTGTAAGAAGAGCCCATGCTGGAAGAGAGTGAAGAGGAGGATTGTAGTATTCATGCAGAAGCTTAACAATTGCTGCCTGCCAACCTGGAAAAAGAACAGAGTGGCTCCAGTGTAAGTATGGTATTCAGCAGCAGAGATAAAAATAATTAGGCTGGGTGGTCCAGCTTCCTCTCCTGCATTTTATTATATTTTGGGAAGCTAGAGGAAGAAAAGAAAGGAAGGGAGATTTGTTGGGCATAGGGAACTCTATCAGATGGACAGGATGAGTGATCTGGAGATCTGTTGCAGAAGAGGGTGGCTGTGACCATAGGCAAGAATGACGTCATTATATATTTCAAAGTAAGAGTTCATTTCACATGTCTCCTTGCATCTTCAGGGGACAACAAGGTACGCCCTCCTAGCCACACTGATTGGACAGTAAAGTGAGATCAGCTAAGCACGGACTTACTGACTTCAAGAAGGAGCAGGGCCAGACATTCAAACCAGTGTCTCTGGCTTGCCTGACCCTGAGACCTCCATCCTTCCCACAAGGAGATGTGTGCACCACTGTAGTCAACTACAGGGCCCTGGTGACAGTGAGTACCTCTGGCGCAGTGCTGAGGAAAAGCAATTTCTCTTAAGCAAGGGTAAGAGATAAAGCCTGATACAGCACAATACAAAATAAGCTAACTAGGCTGAACTAAGGTCCAGAACTTAGAAGGGAGGAAAGGAGAAAACTCAGTCCATGCCTGAATCTCAGTACCCAAATCCCCAGCCCAGACCTAGCACCCACATCTTGGACAATGGCCAGGCCAAGCGAGGGAGCAAGAGATAGGGAACAAGCCACCTATCTTTTCCATATGCAGTGGGAGTGCCGTACGTGAAACACTCAGCACCCTGCCTATGTTGTCAGCAGACTCCCATGGGTGCACAGTGGGCTGAGGGGGCACCCAACAATGCTTAGCAGGAGGAGCAGAAGGAAGTGGAAACCTGGTTCTGTCACACAATCAGAAAACAATGCTGTGACTCCCAGGGGAGACTCCCAGGAGCTAGAAGAGAGGAGGCGCGCCTCTTGCTGCTTTTGTGGGCAGAAAGAAAACAGACTGCGGTGATTGTTGTCTGCCACAGAGCCTTTCGGCCATGTTATAGGCAAGAAGAACCAGTGAAGGGAAGGCTGGAAAAGCCTACAATATTTATCCTCCAAACTGACCACAATAATTGGATACGTGGAGTTCTGAAGGGGAGCATGGCTGGAACTCAAAGCTACGACCCTAGTTAGGAGCACGTGACAGCCTTCACACCTCCTGCTCTGCAAACTCTGGATCAAGCAGTAGCTGGAGCCCAAACTCCTGAAGATGTGGTAAGAAGAGTGAACCATTAAATATATCCTTTATCTTAACCTAAGTTTCTTAATCTTTGCAGCATAAAGATTCATAGCTGAAGTAGTGTCTATAATTCCCTCACCATCAATGAGGGGGGTATTACTGTACCCATTTTATAGCTGAAGATAGCAGCTCTCAGAGAAAATTGTTGCAGGTGAAAGATGAATTTGAAGTTGTCTGAAGCCCATATTGTCAAACTGTATGCCAGCATTTCACACATTATGGTCCAGGAACCCCTGAGGAGAGGTGCCATGATTCTTTGAAGGAATCCAGAAAGACAAAACTATTTTCAGTGTGATACCAAAGCCATGTTTGCCTTTCCCACTCTCAGTCTCTTTTGGAGTAGTGAAAGTCTCCAGAGGCTTCATTAATTGCGATGGTGTCATTTCTCTGATATTAATGGATTATGACCTAGTAACTTACCAAATTTTCTTAGGTAGGCTTTTTTAAGTTCTCAACATTACAGCACTAAGGGGTCCTAAGACCACAAGTTTGAGAACTGCTGATCACAGCCACACTGTGGGATCCAAAATCCTTAGAGTACTAGCAAGAAAACCTTTATCTACCATGAAGAACATAAATACTTTGCACACATTGTACATCATCTCGTTACCATTTCATGAAAAGAGAACTGAGTGTTACACTAGATTTTATTGAGAATTCATCATTTTCCTCTATGTTTAATTGTATAGTCTCACCCTGGAATTGTAGGATATTTGAATTTTGGAAAATAGGAGACCCTTTCTGAACCTCTCAGGCTCTAAATTTTAAACCACTTTCATGGCTGAAATAAAAATTCCCCAAGATCAGTTCTTGAGAACAAGGATGTATATGAATGCCACGGTTTAGATGAAGAACATGCCCTCCCAAACCTCCTGAGCATAAAGGCAGGGCTTACAGAAGGTGCATGATCAGGAGGGTGCTGTCCTCATTAGTGAATTAGCTGATGAATCCATAGCTGACTTGCTGTTAGGAGGTGGGTCTTGGTTTGGAGAAGGTGTGGGGATATGGCCTGAAGGGTACATGTCCCTCCCCCAGCGGCTCTTCCCTTTACTCTCTGCTTCCTGGCCTGGATGAGAGGAGCAGCTTCTCCCTGTCAGTCATTAGGACTTCTTGTTTTGGAGCCAACTGACCATGGACTAAAACCGTGAGCAAAAAGAAGCCTCTCTCCTACCCTGTGGGTGTGGGGAGTTGCGTGTCAGTGATGAGACTGTAACTAACACTCCAAGTGAGCACAGTAAGCCTGGTGATAGGCAATAAAAGGGGCATTTCCTGCAGAGAATTTTAAGATCATAGTAAAAGCAGCTAAAATCTATCTCCTTTTTATTACTACCATGGTTTAGCAATTCTAAACAATGTCAGTGATAACATATTCCTCTGCTCACTGCTTTGAAATGAAAAGCACTTGGACCTGCATCGCTACCTTAGTGTCTGAACCAGTAAGAGAAGTCCTGAACTCCATTCCAGCAATGGCTCCCCAAAAACACTTTCTGGGCTACTCCATGAGAGACCTCACAGGGGTCATCAGGACACCCCGTGTATGCACAGCAGCTTGTCTGTCCCTCCACATCACCTCTGTACACAGCTGCAGGACACTCTGATACCCATTTTAACCATTCCAATGGGCACTCCAGACCACAGGATTGAAATCAGTGTCAGGTCCTCACATACAAACTGTGGAAGCCCTGAGTGTCTTGTCTTCCCCATTCTCTGGTTTGATCTTTTCCCTTCGTACGTATTTTATGGTGAATAAATAAGTTAGGGAGTGAGTGTTCTCTAAAGAGAGCGAAACTCAGACTTGATGAGGAAAAGGCCGTCTATTTTTTAAAAATCTAGGCTGCTGTTAGATTTCTTAAAAATCACAGAATCTAGCAGTTCAGCCCAATTCAATCAGAAAACAGTTAGTGAAAAGAAATCAGCCAACAAGCACAGTGGGTCATCCCTGTAATTCTAGCACTCTAGGAGGCTGAGGCAGGAGGATTGCACATTCTATCCCAACCTGGGCGAATTAGCAAGACTCTGTCTCAAAAGAAATAAAAGATTACCAGATATAAGCATGCAAAATTGGGCAAAGAAATTTAAGCATTAAACTGTTCCTTTCAATAAACCAAAAGACATTGACAACAATATGTAGTATCACCATTGTTGAGTTCCTACCATCTTGGTTAGTGAAACTCTGTATAGTTTGTAATGTTTTTTAAAATAATTTTTATTCTCTTTGATAAATCTTGCATTCTTACATCTGGTAATCTGAGCAACTTTGTTGAAGATAATAATATGCAATATAGCAACCATTGATAATTTCCTGTCATCTTGTTTTGAAATTCTGTATCATTTTTATTGTTTTTGTGTTGTTTTGTTTTTATCTTTGTTGTTGTTTTCCTTTCTTTTCTCTTTAAAATAAAAAAAAAAAACAAAAATTCTGGGAATGTAGCTCAGTGCAAAGGCCCTGAGTTCAATCCCTCACAGAGCACATGCGAGCACACACACACACACACACACACACACACACACACACACACAGAGTCAGGCTGATGTCTGCCTCCTATGGTGAGGTAGACATGAGTTCATAATATATAAAATATAGTAAAAAAATACAATGGATGTTTAAATGTAAAATTTTATTACAGTGAAAGACATACATGAGTCCCCCTCAGAATACTCTACCTCATTTCAAACACACTTATTCCATAAGTCAGGCCACTTTCTGAACCAGTTTACGGTTTATGTTTATGGCAATTTCTGTCACATAAAAGCATTAGAGTGTGTCTTCATCCACCTTATTTGCCAGATCTGGCATTATGCAACTTCTGACTCTTCCTCAAAGTCAAAATGTCCATGAAAGGTAAAGAATCGATTCAGGACATTAAGGCCGTCATGACAGCACAAGTGAAGACACTCAGGAAAGAGGACTTCCAGAACTGCTGCAGAAAGTGGCAAGAAACATGGAATAATTGTGTTCTAAGCAAGGGACAGTATTTTGAGGGGGATTAATGGCAGTGTGTCCCTATAATAGTTTTTTTAAGTTTAAACATTCACTGTATATTTTGATCATACCTCACAGATTATAAAAAGTTCAGAAAAGGAAAAAACTAATAGTTGGTGAAAGTGATAAAAGTACTGGTTACGTACTGCAGAGAGGCAAAGTGAATCTTCCAGGTGGCTGGAAATGTTTTCATCATGATTTGATACTAGTTATATGAGTATGAGCATTTATAAATATCCATCAAGCTATACACTTAGAATTTATGCATATTGTGGTATAACTCAACTTTATAATTTTTTCTTTTTGAGAAAGAGTTTCTCTATACAGTTTACGCTGGTCTTGAACTCACTTCGTAGCCCAGGCTGGCCTCGAACTTGAAGCAAACCTCCTGCCTCAGCCTACCGAGTGCTGGAATTACTGGCATGTGCCACAATGCCTGGTTATAACTCAACTTTATAAACCTTTCCTAAACTGACAAAAGATTTGATAAAAAAAAATTTGACCAGACGAAACTGATGCTATAGCATCTACTGATACCAGGAAAAACTGTCGGGGCTGGGGATTTAGCTCAGCGGCAAAAGCGCCTGCCTGGCAAGCGCAAGGTCGTAAGTTCAGTTCCCGGTACCGGAGAAAAACCAAAAAAAAAACCAAAAAACAAAAACCAGGAAAAACTGTCAACTAAAATCCATGAAATTATCCCTACAATGCATTGTATCATTTAGATATCTGCTTTGAGAAAAAGTATATAGAACACTTTAGGAACATAATAGATTCAGACCAATATATAGTAACCAAAAGGAACTCTGGTCTGAAAGAAATAATTTAGAGATCAGTCTTGAAATCTTTTTCTCTCCTTTGTCAAAGAGCAAAAGTGCATGTCAAAACTTTGAGCTTGAACTGTTTCCAAAAGAAACAGTGCAATTCAGTGGTGCCCTCATGGCTTCCAAACAAGGTCCACCTCTCTAGACAGGTGGCTCATAAATTGATCTTTTTTACATGGAAATACATTGCACTTTATTTTTCTCAGGATCAAAGTCATAAGTAGAAACAGGTCACTGCACCATGACAATAAATTATTATTTATACACATTGAAGCTGAAAGAGTGACTCGCCTTCATAAATTATCCTTTCCTCATGATCCATTGAATTCTTCCCAAACCATGAATAATGACTTCCCTAATCTCCTACAAAGAGGGGGACAAATGAAGACAAAGAAAGAGTGGGAGGAAGTCGGGGTAAATGATCGAATTAGAAATTTACATTTTTACATAGCAGGTTTATGAAAAATGTTCCTTGGCAGTCTCCATGAAAGCAATATGAAAAATGGCATAATTTGAAAAATAGCAGCCTGGTACCTCTTTATTCCATTTGACAAGTGTAAATGCTATTATTTTGACAATGGCACTGACTACTTTTTTAGACTGCTTGTTACATTTAAAAAATGCCTTTAGGAAACTCATATGTTCATAGCATGTGTAACGCAGTCATCTTTCACACTAGCCCAGAAAAAGTCTTTTTTTTGCCAGTGACTGGTCTTATTACTTCCAGCCTGCAAATAAACATTTTAAAGAGTATTTCTACTAAGATCATAAAAGGCTCCAAACAACTGAATTCTAAGCAATGAAAAAAACAGCCAACAGCAGAAAAAGACGTGATTAAGAATAGCCTATGAGTTTATTATAAGATCTCATGAAGGGAGGAAAGAAATGCCAAACATTTTTCATAAAATATGTACCAATTAATTCATTAAAACGTGAGGTGTTAGAGTCAGCCTTTGTTTCCACTACAGCATCAGACATATGGAAGATAAGCATTTGTAGAAGACAAATAAACAATACTATCATAAAACAATCTCACCATATTTATGGTGTCAATAAATTCTCATGTATGATCATTTCTAATTTATAGAAGACCTGCAATAAAATAAAAGACAAAATAACAGTGAGGTTTCTGTCCTTTTAGAAGTACTATTGAATCCGTTATAGACAGGATTTCATTTTTTTTCAACAAAGGGAAAACAGATGCAGTGACCCTGGGACTCCGTTTAATGAAAAAAGATCACTTTTCTGGTTTTAAGCCATAGTCTCTGCATCTTTCAGATTCTGTTAACTTGATATTTGTCACATTTAAGGAAGTGCTCAATTAAAGTTTTCCCTTATGGCTTCTGATTTAGAACGGCATCAGAAGAGCGGCCCCTGATTCACAATCTTACAATTTGCCATTAAAATACATATGAGAACATGATACAGCATGAAAAATTAGAGCAATAACTCAAACTAGGGCTGCTGTTCAATCCCGGGCCAGTAATGTCACATAAATTCCCACTTAGAGTAATGACTATTTAACAAGAAGTAGGAGAACTTCTTTATGTCAGATCCCTTTGAAATACCAAATAGATTTACTAGTAAAGTACACATGTGTCCCCTTACCCTCAAGGCAGTTCTGTTTGAATCAGTTATATTGGTAGTGATCTCTTTCCATTTGTCCTCACTTTCTTCTTATCCCTGTATAATCTAACAAGAGACCAAACCTCCAAAAGGCAGGTGGACAGGAAGCAGACACCGGAAATGCTGCCGCTACTACCTGGGAATTGTAGTTTTTTATGTATTTATGAACTACTAGGTGGTGGTAACAGGATCAGATCATGTCACACCCAAGGAGCTGCACGGGAGGAACCCTTCCATGACACTGAAAATGAAGGTGAGCGCTAGGGCAGGAGTTTGTTTTCCATGTTATATCTTAGTCCTTTTTAGAAATGGCTTTGCACATAAGACCTTCAGAGTATAAGTGGATATTCACATGTATACTAATAGCATATGTAATCAAAAGATGAAATATAGATTTGCTGGCAGTCTTTATACCCTGTTGGTTAACAAACAAGGGATTGCATACACTCTCTCATTCTTCAGATGAATAAACAGAAATGAAAAACAATGGAAACCTATGAAAAAACACAGCAGCAGAAGAAAAAGAATATTACCCTGGAGAATCAGAACAAGCAGACTCTGAACAAAATTTATTATTTGAAATGCAGGGAAAATACAAAACTATTTGGTGAATTAAATGAATGCAAGAAGATATTATCTCTGTGTGACCAGCGAAAGCTGTTGTAAGGATATCAAAGTGAAATGAAAATAAGATGGGATTCAGTGGAAAATGAGATCAAGGGGCTTAAGAGGACTGATAGGAAAATCACTATTGGAATGATAGAATCAAGATCATCACATATAATAATAAACAGAGAAAAATAGTCACTGTTGAAAATTGTTACTCACGTGGAGGTTGAAGTTGAGATGCTCTTCCAGAAGCAAAGGAGAAGGACACCAAGACAATTCCACAGATTCAGACTAGGAACTATGCCTAATCATTAATAGATACTGCTGAGGAAGAAGCTAGAACATGTTAAAGAGAAGCATCTTGACAGTGATAACAGAGTAAGCCTCTTACTGTGGAAACAAAAACTACACGAAACCCTGCCTTCACAGGTGAGAAAGGGGTTGCCGCGAACTGCTCAAGGTGATCAATGAAACATTGAACCATTCTGGAAGACTTAAAGGCCTGTGGTATGGATAGAGGGCAGCAAAGAATAGAGAGAGAAAGCTAAGTAAAAATTGGCAAATTGAATTGAGCATCAGACTTGTTTTCACTAGTACAGCAGTAAATATCAATGTCTCATCATTTTATGGGGAAAGTATGATCTGCTACTAAAATGGCCCTTCAGGAAAAATAAGAAAAATGTCCATCATTTTCCTGTAATGGGGATTATATCCAGGGCCATCACAGTGAGCTACATCCCAGTGCCTTTTTACTTTTTATTTTGTGACAAGGTCTTGCTGAGTTGCCCAGGCTGGGTTCAGATTTGTGATCTTCCTGCATCAGCTTCCTAGAGAACTGGGGGTGCACCACCATCCTAGGCTAAAACATTAATCTTTATCAACCATTCTTTCAAATTGTGTCTTAAAGAGTTGTTCAGCTTTGTCAGAAGGGGCAAGAGGCAGGAAAGAGTGGAGAGCAGAGTGATTATTATTTTCCTAACAATTCCAGGTTCCTGTTTGGTGTACAGATTGGAAGGAAATGCTTCCCTGTTTTGGTATTTTTAGCACAAAAACCTGAGTCTTTGTGTCTTCTACTCTGGTAGCCAGAACAACTCCTCCTTTGGCTTTTGACTCTAGAGCTAGTTATAGGGTAGTTAATACTGGTTCTTCTGATGAGAGCAGCAGGGAAATTCACGCACTTGGGTAGCTGGGCCAGTTTTAACATTAGTAGTGCCACCGTAGCAGGCTAATAAAATTAATCACGGGGTCTGATCTTGACTGTGTTTCAGGCTACAACAGTTTCTTGTGTTTCTGAGCCTGTTTCCTGGACCTGATTCTGCTCAATTTTCACTGAGCTACCTGTCTCTTCAGGGAACCTCTTCTTTGCCTAAGGAAACCAGATCTGGTTCCTGTTGTTTGCAGTGAAGAGCAGTGAGAGAGACTCATCTTTATCAAGCTGAGCTGAGCTAGTGCCAGACACCACCCTACTCTCTAATACTAAGCCAGCCTTGTGTCCCTAGGGTTAATCTCACTGGATCATGGTGTATAATTTTTATATGTTGCTCAATTCTACTCTCTCGTCTACCCTATAATATACATTGACATGCATTACGGTCATTAGGTTGTACAACAGATTTCCTGAAATAATTCTTTCTGTCTAGCTGAAATTTCGTATCCTTTAGTCAGCATGTGCCATACTGCAGCCCCAAACCCACAGCCCCTCACAGCCCTGCCTTCTACTCTCTGCTTTTATGAGTTTGACTTATTTACATTCTTTACATAAGTGAGATCATGCGGGATTTGTCTTTGTTTGCCTGGTTTAGTTCACTTAGGAGGATCTCTTCTATGTCCATCTACACTGTCATAAATGACAGGGTTTCCATTTTTAAAAGCTGCATTATAGTTCTTTGTATGAAAATGTGCCACATTTTCATTATTCATTCATCCGTTGATGGACACTTTTGTTGGTTCCATATTCTGGCTCTTAGGTGTAATGTAATAAGTATGGGGTCCATGAAGGGTTTTTGACATATTGGGTTTATTTCTCTTGGTTATATTAATCCTATTTTAAATTTTTCTCCAATATTTTTCTCTGAACCCTTCATTTTTTGACCTATCTTCAAGTTCACTGATTTCTTCTGCTATCTCTATTCAGCTATTGAGCCCATCTTAGATCAATTATTATGTTTTTCAACTTCAGGATTTTTATTTTGTTCTTTCAACAGTACTTACTTCCTTTAACAGTACTTCCTTGATTGTGGGACAGAGGTACAATTCAGGGGTATCCAAGCATGCTTAGCATGCAGGAGGCCCTGGGTTTGATCCCCAGCACTGTCCCAACAAATCCTTTGTTTGTTGAATCTTGTTGTCATTCACTTTTGTTTTGTTTTTGCTCTTTAAATGTGGTTTCTTTCAATTACCTAAACATCTTATAATATATTCTTTGAAGACTTTCCTGTTAAATACAACATCTGTACCCACACAGAGATAGTTCCAGGTAACTGCTTTTTCTCCCCTGAATGTGGATTATGATCTCCTTTTTTTCCAACTCTTGTAATATTTGTTAAAAACTAATATTTTCAATGCTATATTATAGCAATGCTAGATTCTATTTTCCCTCAGTAGCTTTTATTACTGCTATTTGTCTTAGTTACTTTTCTCTTGTTGCTGAAAAATACCTGACACCCAGAATTAAGGAAGGAAAGGTTTATTTAGCTCACTGTTTGTGGAGGTTTCAGTCCCTACTTGGCTGGCTCCAAGGCAGAGTGGCACATGGCAGAGGGCAACAGTTCACGATGGGGGAAGACAGCAAAAACAACAAGAGCAAAAGGGAGGAGAGGCAGAGAGCAAACCTCTTTCCCTCCCTTACACTGTATGCAAACTACCCGCCTCAGGGCGGGTGTAGCTGTCACACCCATAATCCCGGCATTGGACAATGGAGCAATCATAAACTCTAGAAGCCCACCCCATGACTGCATGAGGCTTTGAGGGGACATCTAGACAGAAAACATGGCACTGTTTTAAGTAATCTACTAGTACTTATCCTGAAGAATCAGATTGTCCCCCCACAGTGGGCAACCTCTGATGCCCCTGCCTAGCTTTTCTCTAACTTGGTTTTAGTGTGTCTGCACAGTTCAATGGGCACCAGTGATTGCTAAGTGATTGTTCTCAAGCACCCTGAGCCCATACAGCTTCTGCCCTCAGCTGGTGGATCTGTGTTTGGTTTAAGGAGGGCATTCAAAGGCTGGGCAGTTTTCAAGACTGCTTCGGTGTTTGCTTTTCTCCTGGCTCTCTCAACCTTCCGTTGAATGTACACATAAGCCCTTGACAACCAGGGATTGTGGAATGCTTGTTCAGCCGCTCAATGGCCAGCTCCTTTCTCAGTTAAGGTTCTCATTAGTCTTTCCATCTGCCACTCACCCCTGTTGGGACCACAACAGCAGGCTTGGGTTGTGCACAGGCTGTTTCCATTTGCTGTAGGGCACAGATTTCCCCTCTCCACTCTGTGGCAATGAGGTCTCTCTAGCCAGTCAGTCCTGATAGAACTGTGCTGATCAGTTTAAGATGGGATGTGGCCACAGCCACAGGCAAGAAGGTCACAGACCTCTATTCTTACCCAGACTTCAGCAGTTTGTTGTCACAGGTATCTGTGTCTCAATTTGGTTATTTCAAGCACTCTGAAATGATTGTTCTTGCCCAGTTTGATAGTCATTGTTTAGAAAGAGAATTGATTGAGTTCCTTAACCTTTCATAGTTGGAATCCATACCACCTTCATTTGCTCATGTTTCATGATTTTTCTTCTCGTTTCCTCAAACCCTGGCATTGTCCAAACAAGTCCTAGCTTGCTTGGCCTTTTTTATTGTAAATTCTCTCAGGAATTTACAATGGCCTTTTTTATTGTAAATTCTCTCAGGAACATTTTATGGTTTCTTTTTGCTTCCCTAATGCCTGGTTCCGTAACCCCTCAGAGAGAACTTGTCCAACTCTTTCAGTCTACCCTTCCCTGCTCCCCATGCACAAATAAAGGTCAGTTTTCCCCAAGCAGAAAAGAATGGGATATTTATAGACACTTTCTCAGGGAAGAGGGAGTTTTTATTTTTAAAAATGCACTTCTCAGCAAAAAAAGGAAAACATACAATAAATCTCCAATTATTAATATTTTGGGTATTACTGAGATATAATTGACAAACATTATATATATTCAAGGTGTATAACATGATATGTTGGTATCTGTATATATTATGAAATGATTACCAGTCAATGTAATAAACATATCTATGACTTTACATCATTACTTTTTGTGGTGAGAATACTCTCAGCAAATTGTAAGTATAGAATACATTATCATTGTTATTAGCATTACTATTATTTTTGCAGCACTAGGGATTGAATCCAAGGCCATTGCACTGAGCAACATCCTCAACCCTGGTTTATTTACTTTTTTATTTTGAAACAGGATCTTGCTAAGTCACTGAATTGCCCAGGCTGGGCCAGAATTTGCAGTCCTCCTGCTTCAGGTTCCCAGAATGCTGGGATTACAGCTACAACAGCAAAATTAAACACATTCACAAAAGAGAATTTCCAGAACTTCTTCAGAAAGGGGCAAGAAGGACAGGATAAGTGTGTTCAAAACAAGGGGGAGTATTTTCAGAGGGATTCATAGCAAAGTGCATTTTATTGTAATACATTTTTGAAAATTTAAACACAGCCAATAGCTTCTGATTATTCTATGTAATTCCCTTTCCCTTTTGAAAACTGGACTCCCTAAGGCTTGCCACTGGCTTAGTCAAAGGATGTCTCAACAATGTCAGAACTCTACAGATTTTGTTACTCAAAGATGAGTTAAGGAGATAAAAATATTTTACACTGTTAAGCACTTTTACAATCACATTCTACCACTTTACATTTAAAAATCAAATTTTTCAACTTTGCTAAAAGCTTGAGTGCATTTAGCCTGAACCCATTGTCTGCCTGTAACCCTAACACTTCTCTCTAGTCTTCTCTACAAAGCGAAGAGTTGTTACACCAACATGAGCTCGTTTATGTACCAGTTAGTGTTCTTTCTACTGCATGTAATTTAATATGTTTCTAGCTAGTTAGGCAAAGACTGATTTATCCAAAGTTAGAAATCAAAATCTGGTCAGACATAGTGTCAAACACCTATAATCCCAACACTCTGGAACACTGAGGAAGGAGGATCCCAATTTAGAGTCCAGCCTAGGCAAATTATCAAAAGGCTGCGTCTAAATAAAAAATAAGAAGAGCTGGGGTGTAGCTCTGTGCAAAGGCCCTGGGTTCAACCCCTAGTATCACAAACAAAACAAAACAAAACACAACAAAACAAACCAGAACAAGCCCAAATCTGGTTAAGACCTTGGCAGTAAAAGCTGTGATTTTCCCCTGTGGGATGGTAACATTAAAATCACAGCGCCAGACTCCTCTAACACTCTGGATCTCTGCTCAAGTTTCAAGAAGGTCTCCGGAGAAATAATCTGATTGGCTAGCTAGGTTCAGATCCTCCCCCAAAACAGACCAATCACTGTGAAATGAGGTCCAAATGGATGAATCAGCCACGGAAGAAAAGGGGAGGAAGGAGTTGGATGGATAAAAAGCATGTACTACAACAAGGCTGAAGTTCTCAGTTGTCTCCATATCTCTCCCTTATAAATGGTTCCTTCCTTGTGTCTTCAAAATCCCTTTAGTTTTAAAGCAATTTCTTGCAATTTTAAAATCTTATCCTCTCCTTTTCTTCTTCTTTACATCAAAATGCTCTAGCAAAACTTCTACTCCCTAAGAAGTGCACGTATGTATTATTCCTCTCAACCTTTAGTTATGGTTTGTGTCTGGGTGTCCCCCCAAAGACACACACAGTCATGGGCTGGGCTTTTAGAGTTCATGATTGATTCATGGGTGTGAGTGCTACACCTGCCCTGGGGCAGATAGTTTGCATATGTAAGGGAGAGAAAGAGGCTGCTTGCCGCCACTCCTCCCTTTTTTGCTCTTGTTATTTTTGCTGTTTTCTGCTGCCATGAACTGTTGCCCTCTGCCATGTGGCACCCTGCCTCGGAGCCAGCCAATTATGGACTGAAATCTCCACAAACTGTGAGCTAAATAAGCCTTTCCTTCCTTAATTTTGGGTGTCAGGTATTTTGTCTCAGCAATGAGAGAAAAGTAACCAAGACACCTTTTTACTGTCTTAAACCCTAGCCTTTACCAGCAAACTGCTTCTCATCTGACACTTGCTCCCTCCCTCCATCTCTGTACCAACATCTTCTAAAGTACCATCTGCTTTCATGACAAAAACATTATTGAATGTATTAAATGAATATATTCATTTGAATTGTGTTGATTTTGGAGCTTGTATTTGATTTCTTTATTTGCTTTTATTTTACAGCTACCTGGGAGTGATAAAGAGTTTAAACATGATTTTATGTTTGTATTCCAGTCAACTCTGAGTTCCTGAAAGAACGCTTTTAAAAATCTAAGAAATATAGGTGGTGAGACATAAATGTATCCCTTCATCACATTGTTCCTGGTAGGATACTTACCCTCACTGAGCAATGCTCTTCAGAAACTGTGGGAAACTCTTGGAAGGTAGGAACAACGGAATTTGTACTTTGAATCCACATCCACAAATCTAGTAGTGTCTCAGAGCAATGTCTTATTGAGTAAACACTTGGAAACTGTACTTTTGAAGCCCTAAGTGCTAGGGATTATGTTAAGTTCTTTAGACAGAGTACTCCATCTCCAAAACAAGCTTATACAGTCTGATATAATCAAGATATCCATTCACAGCTAAGAAAACTGAGGCTCAGCATGTTTAAATGAATTGCCCAAGGTCATATACATAGTAAATCCAATGGCTAGGGTTGCATATGAAAAATGATTGTTAGATAACTGAGAGGAAGACTCTGACAATATAATTGATGCTCTAATTTGAAGCTCCTTTTGTATCATATTTATATTTACTTCAATCCTCAGTCTGTAAAAATGTTGATAGTTGTGTTTGCTTTTCCATTGGATGCTTGCCAAAGTGGAATAAAATTATCCAGTGTGTCTTTAGTCATGAGTAACATTTCCCCTTGATTTTCTAGTGGGTTGTTCTATCCTTATTATCATTAAGAAATTTATATTCATTTAGTAGAACAAATTTTAAAATGTTTCATTCTGCATGTGATAAGAGGATATTTTAATACTTCAGTCTGTTTCATAACGTAGGAAATGCCGTGCCAACACATCATTAATAGCACCTTTCTGCCCACAGACTTTCCATCCAGAACAAAGAAATCTTGTGGTGATTACCGTACAAAGAGAATCAATGTGAGTAATGTTTCAAGCCATGAGTGGCTATGTAAAACACACTGTAAATAAAATCTTAGCTTACATTAAATGGGCATGTCTCAACTCAATCTTTGCCTGATAGTTACTGCATTGGTCAATTTTCAGGCTGTTACACATTATAAAAAACAGCTCCAATAATTTTACCTCTCGTTGACTTCATTTCACCTTTCTGAGGGTGGAGGTTAACTAACTGGAGGAAGAGGGGCCCCTATGGTCATTGGATGTTAACACAGAGCTTCGTCATGGCTGGGTTTTCCAATCCCTCTGGCTATTCTCAAGCACGTGGTGAAAACCTCTCTGCCCTAGCAATGATGTTCAGCTTTGAAGGAAATAAAGCGATCCTTGATCTATAGAGTAACAATGGGAGGATTAACTCTCCAAGTTGTGCAGGGAAAATTCTTAGCCAGATCTACAACTTTCTACTTGTTGTAGGCCTGCTGTGTCAGTGTGGAAGGCACCATCTACCTCATCTGGCAGCCAGCCCGAAGAATACTGTTTCCGTGGGGCACAGTCCACACCTGTGATTCCACACCCTGGGAGGCTGAGACAGGAGGATCTCTTTGTCTCAGTACTTGGACAAAGTAGTGAGATCTTGCCTCAAAATTTTAAAAAGGCAGGAGATGTAGCTCAGTGTGAAGGCCCTAGGTTCAATCCCCAGTGCCGGAGCATGGGGGAAGGGGATGCATTTTCCTCTGCCTGGAGTTTTCTTCCTTAGATTTTGCTTAAATGTTACCCTTCAGAGAAAGAATAATCAACTAATTCTTATCACAGATGCCCATTACACACTGAACTCTTACTCTCCTACTCAGGGGCATTTGTAAGTAGAATTACTTACTTTTGGAGCAGTCTGTGTCTCACAGTGAAACTAACAGATCCTCCTTTCAATTGCGGAACAGGAGAGGCAGGGCGTGCGGGAGAATGAGAGAGAAAAATGATTTAGTTGTCTAGGAAAAAGCAGAGGCATGAGAGAGAAGAGCATGAGTTATCGGTAGGGTTCCTAAATGTTACTCCCATCTTGTTTGTGACAGAGACCATCAGTATGTCCCAGTAACTGTGTCCTCCCCTCGTTCATGGACATAGCTATGGTACACTCCCAGTCTCCCCGCCATGAAGCGGTATCACGTGACTGAGTCCTAGCCAAGGAATGTGGACACAAGTACTGGACACCACTTCCGGATATGGCTCCTTCTCCCCCAGGCTTTTTAATATCTTCTCTCTCCACTCTTTCTCTCCCATTCTCTGTCTCTCTCTCCTTATGGACCTGCCAAGGATCATCATCCAGCAGAGGGCTCAAGGCCCAGGGGAACCACTGGCCAGAAGAAGCTGTGTCCTTGATCTGGCTGTGGAAGGTCATCTGGTGAACATCCTGTTGATCTCCGAGGTGACTAAAAAGGAAACCTTTGCTTGGTCGGACCATCGAGATTTTAACTAACTTCTGTTGTAGCAGTCTGCATTATTGCTACCAAAAGTATGTGGCTTTTGTTTTTCTGCATGCTTACGTAACAGGTGCACATGGTACAGAACTGAAAGCATAGGAAAGTGTTTGGGTTAAACAATGCATCTCTCTCTTAACTCCTTTCTGCAGGAAATCTGCTTTCTGACTTCAAGCTGGCAGGAAACTGGCTTCTTCTGCCTCCTTTCATGCTTGCACTGAAATATATATTGTAATATTTTTTATTTGTCTGTGTTATACCTGGTATATGCCAGTCTACTTTATATTTTGTGTATGTTTAGTTCCAGGTACACAGAAAAAAAACCACTGGCTAATTTTAAAACAAAGAGGAGGTAAAGCAGGGGTGCCTTAAAAATCAAGTAAGCTTGTATTGAATTATAGGTTATTCTAATTAACTAGATGGATGAGAATAGGATTTATAGCAAGTAGAATGTCAATCTGAATCCAACTTTGATAGATTCAGACTTCATTTCCACTCTCCTCACAAGGATTATAGGGATCTTTTCCACCTTCCTTCCTGATCCTCTTGTTTCTCCTTCAGAGCAAAATTTATGAAGCATCACCTGTTCCTGTGAAGTTGCCATTCACTCTGTGTGCGTGCGTGCGTGCGTGCGTGCGTGCGTGCGTGCGTGCGTGGTGTGCATGTGGGAAGTGGTCCCAGGGAGGGAGACAGGAGGAGGGGAAGGAGCAGGTGGGACAGGCATCACAGAGCACCAATGGGGTTGTCCTCTGCTACCCCAGTGACCACGGCAGGATCCCCACCCCCACGAGCCCATGAAATGCATCTCAGCCTCAGCACCACGTCTGCCGAGGGGGGGGGGGGACGACAATAGGCGACACATTTTCTCAGCAGCACTCATCGCGCATTGTGTCCCCTGCACTTTCAGATTTGTTCCTTAATGGTCCCGAGGCGAAGCTGTCTGGTTGCGCAGATGTTAATTATTCGCGACTACTCTTAATTGGTTCTGCGAGTTATTCATTCTGGAGCCGTGACAGAAAGCCTCAGCGACTTGGTCCCTGCAGACATCACCCAGAGAGCTTTTGAGGAGGTGGTTTATGACTCCTTCCCCCAGGCTGCCTTCCCTCTTTAACCCGAACGTTGGGGTTTGGTCAGACTCACAGAGGCCAACCCCTGTGGGGACCTAGGAAATGAAACGCTCTGGATGTACGTTATTTTTCAAAGCCTCCTGCACACACAAGCGCAGAGCTGCAGTTTGGCTGCCCAGTGAGTGATTCAGCTGGAAATCAAGTCGCATGTTGGAGGGGGCCGGGGAGGGCGCTGGCCTGGAGCTGACCATTCATTTCCCTTTGACGTGTAGTTTCCTTCGCTCCCATGGTTTGTACATTTCCCTGTATTGTGTATTAAGCTCACTGGCTGTCTTCAAGATCATCTAAATAATTAAAGCTTTATTGTGGAGAGCACTGTACAGATTAGTGCATTAAATACTAATCTGCTTGATCATTACTTTCCTACACACAAAACTGGGAGAAGGGGAAGCCCCAACTCATATTAAATTCTCTGCTGAGCGTATAATATTCACTTTGATGAATGTGGTCCTGTAGATGGTCGTTTTGAAAGAGTTTGCTGAAAGACACTGCTGATCTATTATTTATCTAGAAGCTCCCCTTCCTTTCTTTCTACTCTTTCTTTTCTTTTTCTTTCCTTTTCTTTTTTCTTTTCTTTTTCTTTCTTTCTTTCTTTCTTTCTTTCTTTCTTTCTTTCTTTCTTTCCTTCCTTCCTTCCTTCCTTCCTTCCTTCCTTCCTTCTCTCTCTTTTCTGTTTTTCTTTCTTTCTTTCTTTCTTCTTCTTTTTAATAGTTGGTAGAAAAATCATACTGAAGAGCAGCTCAAGGCAGGAATAAACGTAGCACTCTCTAGGTAATAAAACACAAGCAAAGAAAAATGACTGCCACTAGAGTTGTAGAAGGAGAAGAAATTGATAAGAGCTCATTTTAAAGAACTTCACTGATATCTTTTTATGACTTGGTATGAGTCTCTGACTTGAGTAAAGGAGAATGTGAGATGTTATGATTTATTTTTCTTCTTAAATTTTTATTCATATGTATTTGCAGTGCATAATGTTTCTATTCCTTGTGTGGAGCTGCTGCATCTACATAACTCATTTTAATTTCTTTTTTCATCTTCTTTCCTTCCTTTTTTCCTCCCTGTTCTCTCCACCTCTTCATTCCCTTCCTCTCTGATAAAAAACTCTCCTAACTTCTTATTATCAACTTTATATTTTACTCTCTACTTATAACTTGTATTTAAATGTGTGTCTGATTTATTTCACTTAACTTTGATTAAACTGTTTTATAAAATAAACAGTATAATGGGATAGTTGCATATCTCTTCACCATGGAAAGATATCTGTAAGATAATAAGCAAGGAACAAAGCAGTTGACATAATATAATCCTATTTGTGTAAACTTAAATTATTAAAAAATTTATGCAGTATATATATATATGTATGTGTATTTATAAATATATCAACACCTGGATGGTAATTGTGTTGGTTTGGGGCTGCTTATTTTGCAAGGGGAACAACATAATACAGGACACATACTTTATATGATTATTTATAAGTCACCCAAAGAACAGCATACAAAAGAGTGCAGGAAATCTGTCCACACACTAAGACCAAGGAATCCAGCTGAGGGCCT